AACGTTTAACACAGTGGGATATTTTATACCCAAATGAAAATTGTGTGGTTTGAACACCATAGCGTATACAATTTCACCAGAAGGTAATTGCGGCCGAAATATTTGTGGACAATATTGTGGTTCTGCTTTACCGCCTTCATTTAAGTAACCCATCAGCGATATTTGTATACCATTAACACCGCCATTTTGACATGTCTGCGTTACTCGCATAACTTTACATGATGGGAGGCGTTGAATATTACAGTAAACTTGAAGCATAAATTGACATGACTGTAAAGAAATTTTGATATTAGAAATTAGTTCAAATTTTAATAAGTTTGGTACAGCGTTTGGATATAACAACAAACCAAAGTGAACTATAGAAAAAAAAGAAAAACAAAATGGAATACACCTACAATTGTACACATCCGTATATGTTATATGTTTGTAAACTCCACTGCCAACATCATTAATTAGTAACCAACTAAAACTATATCTACAAGTGACTTCGCATTATGGCTGGAATTCAAATTTTGTTGACAATTGTTGCCAACCTCCACCCATAATTCCAACACAAAACATCTTACTCCCGCAACGCACTAGTGTTATTAGCACCTTGACAAATGGCCTAGGATGTTCTATTACATATGCAGTTCCAGTATGGACACCGCAATGTACTAACATCCAATCTTGTCAAAAAACGGCTTTGCGGATTGCAACTGGTTGCCATGTTATGTCGCATGTTAACTATCTTCATGCGGAACCGAAAATGCTTTTTATAAAAAACCATAATCGACTGCTGTGTAAGCAATACTTCCTTGCGTGCCACACAGATGGACATTTTAATAGTGATATGTTCAGGAGAGCCCTCCCTCGTAGATGCATTTGTCGATCCCTTTCTTCTTACCGCACATATTTCGATACCTATTGCAATATATTTCGACACTTATTGCAATGGAGATAACATCAGTGAGGGCGAATAAAACGTGGACTCATAACCTTCCAAACAGATGCAGTATCCTCTTCGAGGTTGTTGACTCACAAGGTTCTCAACAGACCTCCGCCTAATATCTCCCAGGAAGAACGGCGTCTCCCCCGTGCAGCAAGAAGCAAGAACCGTTTAGACAAAACTGTTAAGTGTGGGAAATGTTTTTGAAACCACTAATCAGTTTCATTTAAAATTATTAGACAGCACTTTTATATAAATAATATTACATAACTTATAGAACTAATTTCTGTTGTTATTTATTATGGATGTAAATTAAAGCTTGCTCCCAGGAAAAGCAAAACCAATCTTAGCAATGCAGTATCTACAATCTTAAAACTAACAGAAACACCATATATGTTTGGTGCAACGTTTGTAATAGCTGATATCGTCTTAATCAATGTTCTCATTTGAATAGCCAGACTAATTGAAACACTGCAATCCGAGACACGTACTGTCATTTAGTAAGTTCCCTCACAAGACAATTGCCCCTCTGCTCTTCGTTTATTAAAATAGTTCTCAATGGTGCAAACAACACCTATTTTTGAGGTCATTTAATTTTAATAATTAATTATATTGCCATATATTCTTCTGTACGTAAGAAATACAGAATATTCATCCCCAAGACAAATATAGTATCATTTCAATATTGAATAAACAAGGAATTAAGCGCAAATATTTTATTAAAGTCAAGATAATGTTGTCGAAAATGTAAGTTCCCTTAAACTTAAAGCAACTTTCTCCCTACACCACATATAGTAATAATATTGATCTGAAATCAGAAAAACTCTTTCAGTCTCTACTGAAATAAGAAAACTTATTAAAGAAAATACGCAGAATGTAGCAGAAACATATAAATCCAGTTACTAAATCAAATCTTAATAGAGCTATAAAAAAAATATAAGGAAAGATTTAGTCCTATAAAAACCAAACTGTTGCACAAGCACAAGCTATTAAAAACAACTAAATCCTTAAAACGTGCAGTCACTAGAAATATATCAATCAGAGATTCAAATAAAGTTTAATCAACTGAAGCATTTAGAGTTTATCATAAAAATACAGTTATTTTAATATCGGATATTACTAATAATGCTCTCAATATTAAATCTATTGTTGACATTGTTTATTAAATAGATTTACTTTTTAAATCTTATTTACTTTAGATTTGCATAAAATAATTTTCAGTTGTCATGTGAAACCACTTCCCCTTCATTACTGGTAAAATTGTATCGAAATAATTCTAACATCTACACGAAATAAACTATAAAATGTTTTGATGCTATATTCCTGGTTGACAGCCTTTACATAACAAGACGAGATAGTGGAAACCCATTAAAAGGTACCGCGTGAATACTGCAAGACCATGTGCAATTGTTTCTGGTCGCTGGTATATAGGAACCCATGCAGAGATACTGCGCATTTCTTTGTAAAAATTTACAGAATAAAGATATAATTATAAATTTTCTCTGTGAATGTCCAGGTTTCAGAAGAAACAAGTTTTTAGAGAACTACTTTTTTGACAGTTTATTAAACTGTCGATAAGAACGAAATATCTGTTTCTATATATCCTTATCCCGGACGGATGTCTTCTTTTTTTTATATCTTAAAGTTTCTTTCATGAAATGTAGTAAATCGACGAATAAGTAGTAATTATGGTTTATATTACATTTACCATGAGGCGACGAAAATGCCGTTATCTCAACCGAAAGTATCCGGTTGAGCACATTGTGACCAACAGGCGTTAACTCAGCTTCAGATATATGCTGTGCGCATTTCAAGGAAATAAGTAGTCCCGGTCGATCTGGGAACCACAAGCAACAATTTCGTTTTTCGTGCCACATATATTGCGCGTATATATGAAGTGCGTTCCGCATGAATGCGGAACGATATACTTTTATACTCCAAGAGACGCAATTGCCTGAACGATGCAATACGGCATTTTCATTTCAGGAGAGAAGTGAAGGAAAAAGTTAGACTAATGCAAAGTTGAAAGCTAGTTTTTTATTTTGCGGTTATAACCATAGAGAAGCTGAAAGTTATTGTAAAATTGCATGAAATGCATTGTGCAAAAAACTGAAGAAGTTTAAGTGCATCACAATGTACCATACCGCACGAGTGTGCCGTCTTTTGTGTTTATGGTTACCGTTATACGATACCACAACTGTCTATATCTGACACTTCATTATACTAGCAGCAAATATTTCAAATAGCGATGCCTTAAAAATGTAAAACCGAAGCCCTTACCAAGTAAGTATACCTAAAACTACGTTATTAAAAATATTGAAATAGACCAAAAAGATATTAGACAGTTCGACATGTTTATTAAGTCTACGTTGTACTTTTCCATTTCCAGATATTTCAGATTTTAAAAATCAATGGTAATTCTTAGTACAGTTTATGATATATTCTTTTTAAGCAAAAACGTCACACTATCACTTCGGAAAAAAAGTAAGTATTGTTTCAGATGGTGCTGATTCAACATCCCAGTTATTTATCTATCCTGACAACCACTGACAACCTAGTTATTTTCTACATTCTTTCTCAGCTGGCACTACCAATCGAACTACAACAGCAATGACTACAACAAGAAGAAAGAATGTAGAACATAACTAGGTTTAAAATAACATTTAATCCCCTTATATTTCAAAGTGTTATTAAGGTGTTATTGCAACAAATAACTCCACTAAACGTTTGCTATAGTAATTGGAAAAATATAGTTCTGAAGAATTGGAACATTGAAATATTTAAATATATTGCACGATGAGGAACCGCGTTGTCAATAGATTAAAATGTATTTTAATAAAATTATTTATGAATAAACACTTGAATTAAAATTATTTAATGTGTTAAATATCATACCTCATCAAATTCTACTAAATATGAGTAACCAGGCTCAGTTAATAAACGTATATGTTCCGGTCTCTGCAAACTAACTACGTATAAATGCTTTTCAAGTGGTGTATCTCTTAAGCCAAGAAAATAGACTAGTTGTTTCGCGTTATCAACCCATAAATTTCGGCCGAGAACTTCCCATTCACCGGAAGTAAGCGCAACCTGAAAAATAAAATTGAAACAAATTTTAAATTTACGTTACTAATATAAAAATCTTTATTTACCTTATTAATAATTCTTGGTCGTAATGTAACGCCTTCCATGAAATCTGGAACTGCATCTATTACTACAGATGAATTTTGGCCTATTCTTTTTGTTAAATTTGCATTAACTATAGTCTCTTTACAACCGTTTAATATAGTCCCACTTATACTTGATGTTACCAAATACAAATGTCTAAAGCCGGTCTCTTCAGATGCCCATATAAATGTTACGGTGGATTCTGTGATTTCCAGAAAGTACAGTAAATCGTGCACATTTATCCAGGATTCCGAAAATTGTGAGTATATAACCTAAATTAGACAATAGCGTGATAAGAGTAAAATTTTTAAAGCAATGAGTTACTTGGGGTGGTGAAATCGCGCGACAATATTGACTTTTCCAACTATGCTCTACGGAACCTGATGGTGATGAAGCTGAACTATTGTAGGTTTCGCAGAAATTATCCAAAGGTATAAGTATCAATTCCAAATGCTGTTGTTTTCGATTCATAGCTTGCATCCAAACACTAAAATTAAAATATGCAATATATTTTGGATTAAAGTTTAATAAAGATATTTTAAGCTAATAATCGTATTCCAAATATGATATCGAAAGATTATTGTGTAACGATATACAGTAAGTAATGCGAGAGGTGCTTCTTTGTAATGGACCGATGGCAAGAATTCTGCAGTAAACCTCGTATGCACTAGATCTGCTATATAACTCCGCAGACCGGAACGTAAAAATAATTAGTCCACAACTAAATCTGCTTCTAAGTACTACTTAGCTGTTTCGACTCATAGAAGCTCGTCACATAAATAAAAGAATTGAGAATTGAGACTAGTAACTGCCTGGCTTTACTCAGCATATTGTGGATGCTGTTGAAGCCAGAGAGAGCTACTATCATATAAAAGCCTGAAAGTCTTATATTCAGTTACAACCACTTGTAGCACAAAGGATTTTCTATGGTCCTCACGTCCGATCTTGTAATTTATATATTATTGTGGATTACTGTTTTAGGCAATACGAATACCAGAAAATTATTACTATGTAAAACTAGAAAATTGATTACCATGTAAGTCTTTGAAACTAAACTGTTAGCATTACTGATTATATTTAAGATGTATCCTTAACTTGAACTCAACTTCTACTATAGAAAAATAGTTGGTTTTACAGATTATTAGATATAATGTTTCTGATGTTCTATTTCTGATTGTACATTGATCGTAGAATAGTAACTACAGCAGAATGAGGATATAGCTATATTCTAAAAAGTCACTTGTCACTTATATAGACGTGAATTCCCTATATATGTCCCAACTGCAGTTCTACTCCTTATCATTCTGCCCAGCTATTCAACTGCCCTAATTCCTGGTTAGTTTTAATAAAGACCCAAGCATGCAGTAATCCATTCCATGACATAAACAACCCTTCTTCCAACTTTACCTTTCCCCAATCGCATCCAAACTCATATATTCGTTTCATGTATTCTACAACTTGAACCTCCATGAGTTACAACAATAACATCCATATGTCAATTAGTATCTACGAATCTTCCAAAGTAAGGCAATGATGTTAATTTGTAAATAGCAAAGGATAATAAAAAATTTATAAAAAGAATTGGAACAAAGTTTTTTTTGTAGCGACGGCATCGAAATAAGACAACTATAGAATAACTCAAATTAGTACAAACGAAACCGCAAAAGCATTGAAAAATGAATTTTGTATATACGTTTTACGAATGGAAGTAAAATAAGCTGCGACTGATTTTCGAAAAACAGTGTGTCATAACTGATAATATGACTAGATTCCACTACTATAATTTTGTCAATACTCTACGATAAACTTCCTTTATAATATTAGAAATGATTAGACTCATAGAAGGCCACCAGTTAAATTATTGAACAGTAATGACAATTGTCTCATTTTATAAAGTTGATCCATATATTTGCATTTAATTAACTTATTTGAGATGTCTTAAGGCATAGTATAACAAAAGAAAATTACCAAAATAAAAATAAATAAAGATTCCAGTAGAAGAACTGTAAAATTCTACATGAAATCGTTAATGTAGCATTCAGTGGCAAGTAACTGGAAGCAACGGTTTCGGGACCCCCCATTTAGGGGCCCCATTATAAATTCATGTATTCATTATATTTATTTTTAATAAATTCTCAAAAGTGGAACGACACGTTTTTTGTTGTGATGACATTTAAGTGGAACCAAGAAAACAAAAGAGCAAAATGAACGAGAAGAAACATTGAAGAAATTACCAAAACTAGACAATTTTCTTAAAATAAATGAAAACAAAACTGAAGAAGTAAACGATTTAAATGATGCCTTTGCTAATTGTGATACACAGAATAAATTGACAGATTGTTCAAATACTGAAACAGAAAACCTTGACAAGCCCTTTTTACACCTTTACGTGTAAAGCGTATAAGGAGCCTTAGTAGGAGCCTCTTAGTTAGAATTTGCTTATGGGCCTAAAAAATGTAGTTACACCATTAGAAGCGATGGCGATTAATAACAAACAATGAAACTAAAATGTTGATTATTGCATCATAGTATGTCCTGTAAACAACATCATTCTACAAATGCATGTCACAAAAATTGTAACACAAATGCGATTGGTTCCATTTAGAAGAAAAAAACTATTAAGGAACCAAAAAATAAATAAAACTGAAGAGTGACAATTATTCTTGCTAACTAAATGTGAATGCACCTTAAGAAGAGTCTCAAGTAGTTTCGGATGGTACCTTAACGGAGACGCGTACAGAACTAATCTTTAAGCTCTTATTAAAATTTTGCAATAAATCTTTTTAAATACTGAAAAAATAAGTTATGGAATGTAAATGACAAATTCATTTAAAATAATTATAAATGGAAGGATTTTTTACATTTACTTTGATTAACGCAATTATGTACAAATGAATTTACAGATCAATACTTACTAATTTGAATCCGGTGTCCAGCCAACACGCACAATATATTCTAACCATGGAAAAACTAATGATAATGTATATGGCAAATCTTTTATACAAACATCCGCTATCTGTAGTGATTCATTTAATGTAAACTGCACCATTTTAAGTTTTGATTTAGCGTTAGGTGTACCGGTGCGTGGAAATCGATACTCTTCCATTTCACCAGGTATTGCTTGTGATGAAGGAAATGTGTATAGGCAAACGTCAGATTCGTCTACTTCTTCAAATACTATGCGATATACACAATCTTTAAAATAAACAAATAAATATTATTAAAATTTTTATATTTTTCAAATGTAATTTCAGTTTATTACCTTCGGAGTGTGGTTGCCACCAATACCCTTGATATCGACTAAATTCTTCTTGCATTACATATGATGGCACACCAGCACTTAAAGGATCATCAGCGAATGAACGACGTCCATCGTGAGCAAACGTTAAACGTTCTTCATGGCCACTTAACGTATGTGTTACCCAAATATCACAGCCGCTTATATAGGCAATTAAATCAGAGTTTTGTGGACATATTTGAGGATCCAAAGCAGACCACTGAGGACAAGTGCGTAATTGAGTGGGAAATAAGGGACTTAACTGAAAAAAGAAAGTCATTATATTCTACAATAGAGTTTGTTAGCAGTGTTTTTTATATATTCTTTTAGCTCGTAAAATTCGGAACTGTGTCCTTAGGCCAAGAAGTTACTTAAAATCATATGAGAGAAAGAACGCATTTTCAGTATTTGCCGGAATACAGGTATAAAAATAAGACTATCCAAAAAAACTTTTAGGGCCATGTCATAAAGAAAGCCATGGTTCACAACAAATTTGAAATTGTTGTTTTCCATGTAAATTAAAAAATTTAGAATGAGAGAAAGAGAGAAATTTCGATTTAAATTTGGTCACGATGACGAACACAAGGGTGTTCTCGTAACATTGGTCAAAACTGTGTTGCTCTGTTACAAATGACAAAATTTACGCATTTTAAAACAATATTACTACAATTTTAAAACATTTTTTGCAAGAAGGGTGCATGTACTCCTTTCATTGGTCCAGAGCCTTTCTACTGGCTAACAAAGAGCTTCACAAATAACTTATTATGTGAAAGGGAGAGACAAAATCTACTTGAATACTGGAGAGCCCAAATAGGCAGTCAAGAAGATTTATTGATCCTGAACACATCAAAGTTGACGCTATCCTTAACCTTAGCAGAAACAATATTAAACTCTACACTGAACTTTTAACAGGACACTGTAGACTACTGTAGATTACTGTCGACTCTTCATGAGAAGAAGAAAACATTAGAAGATATTCTATGTAACTGCTCAGAGGTGGCAAGACTTAGACTTGATTACCTTGGAACCGGGATCTTAGTCCCAAATCAAATAGGTAAAATTAAGCCCACAGCAATTACGAGATTTATAAATAGTCTAGAATTGTCTTAGTTGGGCCCATGGGCGCACAATAGGTTAGGGTGCATTTATAACCTATTATTTAATAATAATAATAATAATAATAATAATACATTTTAAAGAAAAAATGGTGAAAAGCAGTACAGGCACATTTTCTGATTTTAAGTATATGCGTATAATTTTGCATTATTAAGAATTATTATATAATTATACAATAATAAATAAATATTTTTACAGTTTCTCGAGGTTTTTTTGCTACTGTTTATTTTTGGTGGCAAATTATTAGTGAATATGTCCATAATTTCTTTAAATTAAAAGATTTTAGTAGTTTGTTATTTTGGACATGCTTTTTCTTTTGACATACAAGCTGATATAACATACTTCTCGAGATATTAGGTTTAAAGTTGCATTTTTTTTATATTAATTAGAGTAACCAAAAAACTGCATATGTCATCTAACATCAACTATTATATATAAACAACAACTTAATAAACTAGATGGAACATCTACTTATTTGTGGTTTTTATATATAAATTTTGAACTTTTTATTCTGATATCTGAAAAAATAATCTTGTAGCACATAACTTTTGCGATGCTGGGTGTTTTTTGATTTACAAGAGACAATAGATATCTTTTTAAGCATATATGATTGAATGTGTGTTGGCAGTTGTAGAAGTTTATAACTGTTAAACATTTTAGTTTTATTGTATGATTTTTAAATCGAATATGCAATCATAACATTATTAGAATATCTTAAATTATATGTATTTGCAGTTGCCATAAGTTAAATAAATAAAATAAATCAGTTCTAAATATGTCGAAGCACCACTAGTCCTATTTGTCGAGAATTAAATAAATAATTTATTCCAGTTCTGGGCTGTATGTTCATACTATATGTTTTTTAATTCTGGTTCTTGCTTCTTAATTTGATATTGGCGTTAAAAAATCTTTAAATCTTTAAACAAGGAAATACAAAGCAAAAGCGAAAATATATGTTTTTAATATTAGTAATTCTCCTGATGAAGGCAAAAGCGAATTTACCGAAATACGTATAGGAATATACTAAAAATAACGATCGTAATATAAGTTAAAATTCTGAAAAAACCGAGAAGTTCTAAGTGATTTGATATATAATTAAAAATATTCTATATGTATAATATATTAATCATATACATTATACTCGAAACTCGATATATACTAGATATATTATACTCGAAACAGCTGTGTGGTCAGCCAAAACTGCAATTAATTAAAATAATATAAAAAGAATACTTGCTGTTGTATTTCACTAATTTTTGAAACCTCTTTGCTATATAAAATATATTAATTCAGTTATTTAAAAATTTTTTCATACACAAATTGCCACAAGCGTCACTTTATATACATATATATTTAAAACTTTATATTTTAAAACTTTTATATTAAATTTTGACGAAAAAAACTAAATTATTGGTATAAACTATTGTTTTCAATAGAGAGATATTTTGAACAGTAGTAAAACACAACAACAAAATTTTATTATTTATTAATTAATTGAATTTTTGGCTGACATGACCGTACAGTATTTCGAGTATTGCCAAATACCCATCATCAGTGGTTTTGAAATTTTTTCTTATATCTAGTTATTCGTAAATAATATTTTGAGAGTGCAAGTGTCGAACTCATGACCTTTCAAAAAAAAAAAATGTATGTAATTTAGATATTTAGTACTTCTAGGTAACAATAAACAATGTAACAGCTCCTTCACTCTTTGTCACTCCTCCGAGAATACCGAATATGTTAATGTTACTGTAATAGGCCTGTTACGCTTTTTTACTGCGCGACAATACTGTCGCTATTGTGTTACTAATAACTTGACAAATTTATCTTAATCTTTTTACTTTCTGTTAACACAATAAAAAAACTTATTTTTTTGCATTTTAAACGAAAAAAATGAAAACATAAATAAAACTTAAATTTTTATCACTATTCCCTAGCCTCATCATTCTGTTTGTTATTGATTTTGATATCAGAAATGCGTTGTCACACTTATAAACGTATGACAGACATGACTTGCTTAAAAATGTTATCATCAAAGTAGTTAGTTTTATATAAATTAGCATTCAGTTAGAAAGTAAGGAATTTTACAAAATCAGTTTAAAAAACTTTGTATAAAAATCAAAGATAAAAGAATTTTTTTGTGTTTTGTAATAAAACTACTTGTAACCAAAAGCTATAAATATTTCAAAGTATTCGTTTAAATAATAATATTTAATCTGTATATAAATAGTATATTAACACATGCCACATTTATATATATATAAATTTTATATATAAATAAAATCAGGAATAGATTTCTGATTTTTTTCACACTTTAAGAAATCGAAATTTAGCTCATTATGACATTATTTTAATTTGAAGTAGATATACAAATCAAAATATAGTTTTCAATCCTATCCAATGATCAGGTTTTGATAGCCTAACTAAGAAAATACTCAAGTACACATGATCATTTGTGTTGAACGAGTAGCTTTAAAACTAAACCCAGTCACGACTAAAGCCAAATATAATTATTATAGGGAAAGTCGATTGTTTTCCGCATCGATCCAAACTAGTTTTATATCTCATACATTTCTCATCCATTTTTTATCCCAAACATACCATCTTCTTTCCACTTACCCTCTACCTAATCCATATTCTAGCCCATACATATGTTGTCTATACAAAATTTTGTCTGCTGCAATATACCCTCTCTCTACTGCGAGCTACGGCAACAGGAACAATGTATGTATAATTTTCATATATACTTATATTTTAGCATAGATATGTTATAGTATTTATGTAGCTTAGACAGCAGATAATGATTCAGATATAAGTGATCATACGTAACAATTGTGTATTTTGACTAAAGATAAATTAGACATCATCATCAAAAATTTTAATGCTCGGATTTGACTAGATAAGCCTAGCTTAATATGTTTTAATGACTGAGTGAAAGTTATGGTATTTAAATTTAACAAGAAACCAAAACAAACTTTCTTAAAAAAAAAATCAACGTATATGGTAAAATTGTAAAATTGTATCTATAATAGTTATATCCGGAATAGTTATTGCTAATGCATATCATATTTATATTTAACTTACGTTATAGCCAGTATCAAGGCACTGGTACAAGTCACTAAAGCATGGAAACACTATCATTCCGCTTGGTTTATGTAGTTCGTAGGAGGTTATGCCCCAAGTCGATAGCCTCTTACGTTCTTGTAATAACTGAAATTCTCTAGACCATGCATTAACATTGCCTCCCGTAGAAGCGGCAAAACTAGATATTGGTTGTTGTAATACTATGTTCCAGTTAAGCCTGTAATAAAAAAATAATTGTTTGTTATATTTATATAAAACAAAAATAATTGTGTTTGAATTGTATTTGTACCTTTTGCTTTGATAACTGCCAAGAAAGCTACTGGTGTTGGGTGAAGATGCCTGAGATGTTGGTGGCGAAGTACTCGTGCGTATACTAGTCGTTTCTTGTTGTAATTCTTGTGCTAGTTGTTCGTCATTTGAGTTTGCATTAATATCGGCATAAAGCAGTGTAGTTTCCCATGCATTTGGTGGCGTACTCAAGAAATAACAGCGCACACGACCATCTGATAGCGTGCGAAACTGTATGTTTGTTGGCACCATAGTTGACATATGTGACAATTGCTTACGCATATCATTTACAGTCGCCTTTATCTCAGACCATGTTTTTCTCGGCGTGGGTGCTGGTACATGCCTGTCGTCATCATCGTCATCTTCACAGTCTTCATCGTCGTCGTCGAGGTCATCAATGTGGGGTGGCGAACCGCTTGTTGGCGAACTTAAATGATTCGATAGCGCTGATGCAGCAGCCACAACTACTGCAGCAGTTTCTGCGGTTCTAGCTGTTGCAGCTGCTGCTGCTGCTGTAATTGGAGATGTGAGTGAATTGAACGCTAGTCCGATCGAAGAGTAAAACGCATTTGCAGTTGTACCTAATGAACCGATGCTTGTTAAACTTGCTATAGACCCGCCAGCTACCACGGGCCCAGCACCACCAGATGAAGTTGTCGAACTTGGCGTACTGGCTGCACTTTGACTACGATCACCAGACACACGCGCTGTGAAACCATCAAGTAGATTTACAAAGGACGATGTCGAACTATTTCGTTCTGGCGGGGGGGATTGAGATTGGGGCATGACAGTGGTTTGTGAGTTACTATTGGTATTCGGTCCGACACTAATGACTGTTGACGTACTTGATGGTGCAGATTGTAAACGGTTTCTTTGTTGTGTTAGGCTTGTGTCCATTATTTGTCACCAACTTTTTTTTTATTTAGCCTACAACTAACTTGGTAATGCCGATATTTGCACGTTTTTTACAGCACTTCGACATGTGGATTTGTAAACTTTGGAGTGGAGTAAGCAGATTTAAAATTATGACTATTAGTTTTGCTTTGGAGTTAACTTTTTGGAATTGAAAGTGATAATAAAGTTTCGTTATTTAATTTATTTAAGTTGTTTTTAAAAGTTAACAACATTATATGTTTGGTATCACATAGATATTAGTATGTGGCTTTATTTTTATTTATTTATTTTTTTTTTGTTTTTTTTTTAATTAACATGAGTAAGTTCAACGTTTTACGGTTGTGTTTTGTGTTTGTGCATTTTGGTTTATTTTTTTTTTTTATTTAATTTTTGGTTTTTTATTTGAAAACAGAATTGCTCTAGAGGTTGTATGTTAAGTGCTCATAGATTGGCTTGATTATTAAAAGTCTAAGATTTACGTTTCCACAACGCGAAATTTTTGCTTTTTTCATCGGCACTTAATTAAGTGTTATTGCTTTAATTTGAATCTTAATTAATGCTCTCTGAATCGTTGAACTTCAAAATTTAGCGACCTTTACTTGCTCCATTTAAATGTAAATAATTTTGTTTATTTTCGTACCACAATTTCAAGACATAGTCGGGAAAGTATGCGCTTTTGTCTAGTTCCCATTGATTTTGCAGCACCAAAATCTCTGCTGCCCTTTTCGCAACTCGCTTTTGGCTACGATCTTAATACGCTTTAATTAATGAATTACTCATATGATTTGGTCTTGGTCTATTCATTTTATAAATAAACAAATAAATAATATAAACATTAATTTTGGCAGGTCGACTCTTCTCTAATTTTAAAATAACTTAGGATTTTCATTTATATTCTTTGTTCAAGTGAATTTCTTTTCAACATTTCTCTTCGTTGTTGGTTTGTGTTCACTTATTTGTTTTTGTTTTCTTTTTGTATTTTATCTTTTCCGACAAACGTGTTTTGTTGTTGTTGTGACAATTGCTCTTGTTCTTCTTTACTAATAAGTGAAAGCTGATGAAAAAACTGCCTTAACTTTTCACTGCCCACTTTTGAGGCGAATAAAACTACTTCAAGTTAAGTTTATATAATAATTTTAACATTTTATCGTTTTTAATATCATTTTTATTTCATTTTTAATTAAATAAATTTTTCTACTAATTAAGTTCACAAGACCAAAAAATCAGCCTCACAGATTTCTTATAAAAACTTTATTGACAGACAACAATTTATCATACATTGTGTAGTATAACTGAACTGAAACTTAGCAGAAACGCAAATGGGGATACTAAAGTAGCAACTTTCAATAATTGCTTGCAATTGTGTAGAAACTTATTATAGTACAAATATAAAAATTTTTTTAAATTTAATAACAGCGTTAAGTAATCAACTATCTTATTTTATACACATCTATATTATTTTACACGAATTAAAATATTTAATTATTTTCGTACTTTTATTCTGATGTCTGTTTTTATTGGTTATGTGTTTGACGTACAGTTTGAAAGTAACTGAACAGCACGCACACAGCTGATCGCTGTTTTAAGAAAACGAATTTAAATAAATTGTTGAAACAAAAAAATAATATACAAAATCAAACTAAAGATATATATTACACATGTTCTTATATACAAAAATTGCAAAAATATCTTAAAAACATATACAGGGTATTTCGCTTCATAATACCGTAACTTTAAAAGATAATTTCTTTGTCCAATAAAAGA